TTGCAAGAGGTCACTGCAAACAAGCAATCCCTGCCAGTTCCTGCATGCCGTAACTGCAAGTTTAACTCCACTGCAATGTCATCACATCTTTATTTCTTTAGGTAAAAAACACACCTCATTTCCTCTCTGCCCCCCACGTCACTGCTGTCCCTTTGGTGTCTGATTCCCTTCCCCAGGGATGAGCAGGAAGTTCCCAGAGAATGGCATCTGAGCAGTTCAGGAGGCAGCCAGCACCAAGCCCTGGGAGCTTCTCTGTCTGATGAAATCATCTCATAGTGTGAAGATCCTCTCAGCTGAAATTGAAAAGTTATTTATTTCTCCTCTAAAGGGGAAAAAACATCTCACTGTGGAAGCTGTTTGTCCTTTGGGGCAGGAATCTCACTTTTGCCAGCTTCTGTGTTTTTACATGCTGGCTTGGAGGAGTGAGATGCTCTGGCAGGCAGGCAGGACAGAGCAGTGCTGATGCTCTCCCTCCTACAACCTCCCTCTGCCAGGTCAGGTACACTGAGGGGCAGAGGTCAGGCACTGGCTTGAGCTGTTCCTCTCCATGGGATATTTTCCTGGGGATCACAACAGTGCTGCTAAGACCACCTTTTTCCCCACATCAATACAGACTCTGCTTCTCCATCCTTACCCCTTGAGTCACTGAACTGCTCTGATAGGAGCCGCAGATGAGATGTCCTTCACCCTCTCTGGAGACTCCAGGGACATCAATCTTCATTACCCAAAGAGACTGTGAAGCTTGTACCTGTTCCCCAAGTGCTCCACAGAGACATCATGGCATCCAAGGTCCTTCCAGCTCTCAGGAGTCAGCATGTCCTCTGCAAGGGTGCTGATAGATTCTGCTGGGCTCAGTAGACCCCTCACTGAGGGGCTTTTCCATGGGAATGCTCATCCTGTTCACTCCAGCTGGGACATGAATCACACAGGGAATGGTTTTACCACTATTTTTATTCTGCGTTGCCCTTTCACTTATCAAGAGCGGACTATTTCCAAGCACAGCCTAATCCTGCTCCCACTGCCATCTGCAAAAGGCACACCCCTGCCTTGGGGCAGTACTCAGTGCCTTGTAGTATCCCATGCCAGCAGAGCATTGTAAAGGTTTCTGTGGATGTTAAACCAGCTACACTGCTAGAAGAAAGTAACCTCAGAGCAGGTGAGAGATGAAGAAGCTGTCCAGGGCCAGTTTCTGTTCCAGCAGAATTGTTTTCCCAGTTCTCAGACTCATTCGGGAACTTGACTTGGCAGAGATGTGACTTAGACCAAGCTGATACTGTGCAGGATGATTTTGCAAGCTCTGGGAAACTGGGGATCAGTGAAATACTGCAGGAAACTCTTGTGGGTGGTGCACACAGACTTTTTATCCCACTTGAATGTTACCTACTTGCTAAGCAGAACTGCTTGCTTCAGCATGAGTAGGTTAGGGGTCCTGCTTCAGAACTGGGCCTCCTATATGCCTGAAAAATAAAAAATAGCATTCAGTAGCAACAATGCATCTATTCAGAAATGTGGGTGCTGTCGTGTCACTGTCAGGCTTGAAACCTTGAAGGAAAAGCTCATTCCATGGCCAGCAGCACTGGCGTGCCGATAGGGCTGAGTTTCCACTAGAGGGTTGTAGTGCTGTATGGAAGCAGATGCGGTTACTGTGGCAGAAATATTGTATGTACTCCAGGCCTTTGTCAGCAGATCAAAAGCATCCTGCGATATCCTGGCTTCCAGCAGTCTCCGCAGTCTCTGATGTACACAGCCTGCAAGCTGCAAGAGGGCTGGTGCCTGAGCAACCTGCTTCCCTGCCTTCCCCGAACAGCCTCCAGCATTCACATGACTCAGCACCCACAATACGTATATATACATACAGAGAGAGATACAGATACAGTAAGTAAACACACTGTGCCTATGCATATACACACACAGCCAGAATGTTTATTTGTGTACCTTGGATTCCGGTGCACGGCAGTGACACAGCATGGCAATGAGCCAGGCACCACTGGCGAAGCAAAGCCCACAGCCTGGCAGCACAGCAAATGGGCCAACTAGCAATATCAGCTCAATTATAGAATCATAGAATCATTTAGGTTCGAAAAACCTTTTAGGTCATTCAGTCCAGCCATTAATGCAGCACTGCCAAGGCCACCACTAAACCACGTCCCTCAGTGCCACATCTACAATGTGTTTTAAATACCTTCAGGGATGATGACTCCACCATGTGTCTAGGTAGCCTGTTCCAATGTTTGACAACCCCTTCAGTGAAGAAATTTTACTTAATATCCAATCTAAGCCTCCCCTGGTGCAACTTGGGGCCAGTTCCTCTTGTCCTAGTACGTGCCGCTTGGTAGAAGAGGCTACAACCTCCCTTCAGGTAGTTATAGAGAGTGATAAGGTCTCCAGTGCCTCATCAGTGCTGACTAGAGGGGGATGACCAGTTTGCCGATCCTGCTGACCATGCTGTTGCTCATTAGCAGAACTGGGAAGCATTAGCTGTTTATATACAGTTGTAGCTCCGGGTCAGGAGCTGCCACACCCTGCATTGCACCAAACATGGGTGTTGTTCCCTGCAGCTTGCAAGCCAGCCTTAAGCAGGAGCCATCAGAGAGGACTGCCACTTCTGCCACCAACCATGTCCCCACGTCCAGTGCAGCTCTGTAGGTCCTCATAGCTTCACGTGTATGTGACACCAGTATGCGTCCGTACATCTCTTACAGTGGCGGTCGTATTATTTATGTGGATCTATAGAATCATAGAATCACAGAATGGTTTGGGTTGGAAGGGACCTTTAAAGGTGATTTAGTCCAACCCCCCCTGCAATGAGCCTGTGTGTGTAGCTTTCTGAGTAGCTGGTGTGCTAAGTGCTGGCAACTGTACCAACAAGATCAGGATGGTTTTGCTGCTGAAAACAAAAAATGGAGCTGTCTAGCACAGTGGGGAAAGCCCAAATATTATTGACGTTGCCTTCTTTCACAGAAAGCGTAGGAAGGCAAATGCAACCACAAAGCTTGACTGTAACATGGAAAACACAGCGTGACATTCACCAAGAATTTACACAGTGATCCATTTATGTACCACCTGTTTGTCTGATACTATCACTATTTCCATTTACAGCTGGATGGAAAATAAATTTTGCCTACATTTTAATCCCTTTTGTTATCAGAAAGGCTTTGAGGAAGCAAGTAGGAGATATTCTTGCAAAATAAATTATTACAGCTAAAGATAGGCCTTAGTTCCCCTGGAAGATGACCTAATCTTACCTAAATTGAGATGTGTAAGAACCAACCATTGTGTCAACAGAGAATCATAGAATATTCTGACTTGTAAGGGACCCACGATGATCACCAAGTCCAACAGCCAGACCGTAGAGTGCTGGAATAGATTATCTGACCCAAAATAGACATTTGAATCCTCTCCCCTTTATAGCTGACTTGTGGAGTGCCTTTTCTCATGTTAGTGGTGAAAAAGGAGGTGATCAGTTGAGCTGCTTCTTGATATAGAGGATAAAAAGGCACCAGGGAAAACTCAACCATATGAGACTTGCAAGGTGGACACACAGGATTGGGAGAGTCATCTCCCACAAGTGACGGTTTCCATAAACAAGTCTCAGACCTCATGGAGACCAGAGAGGCTGCAGAGCAGGGACTGGTGCTGGTGAAGCTTCTTTTGCTGATAGCAGCAATGCAGAAGATCTCTGTAACTCCAGGCCATGGGGATTACCCCTTTCCGTCTGGGTGCTGCCATCCCTTCGTGGGCTGACCCCACGCGGCAGACAGGTGGTGGACGGGCAAGGATGGGCAGCTGGCAATGAGTTACGGAGAGAGCTATGACAGAAAATCATGGTGTGAAGGAGGGTTTGGAGTGTGTCAGCTGAGAAGAAGGGGAGGGAAGGAACATAAGGAATAAGGTGTCTCAGCACTTACAGGTTAGAAGGGTTGATTATATTTTTTGAATTGCCTATTCTAACCAGTGAGGACATTTATAATCATCATGCAATGAATGTGTTCATTACTAATCTTTCACATCTAAAATTCCTGTAGAAGATTAAAAAAAAAAAAAAAGGTGTATGTTATTTGGGCAGTGTGAGTGGTCAGGTGCAGAGGAGGGCAGCTGTACACAGGCACCTCTGCCCCATCAGACAGCATCAAAACCCTCCAGCCTTGGTGTGGTACAAAGGCAGGCAGCCTTCTGCACCTGCCTTTGTGAACAGCTCTGCAAACTTTCTTCTCGCAGAGCAAGGAGTCTCATTCCCTGCCGAAGGAGTCATAAAATACAGCTATATCCATCCTGCATGCTGCAATCAGGCAGGCTTAAGAGCTTAAGCACTTGGATGGTAGCAGTGTTTTAAAAGATTGCACCGACCTGTTTGCCTACCTCATTCCGCATCGCTACTCAAACCACTCCTCAGTACAGACTTTTGGGGTACAGTGTTAGTCATGGAGGCAGAACACTGAACTTGCTAATAGAGAGGGAGTTCTTAAGCTCGGGTTCTTTTCAGGAGGGCGTGCCCAGGGCGATTAGGAGCTCTCACAAAGAGCCCAGAGTTACTCCCCTTGCTCTGCTTACCAGCCAGCTGCTGAGCCATGAAGCTTTGGGATCATGCACCAGCCAAAGAAGATGGCAGCAAACAGATTTAATCAGTTAAGGCTGTTTTATTAAACAAAGCCAATCAAAACAAACCCAACCCCACCGGCAATACACCACCAAACCCAGCCCCACCAGCAATACACCATCTCCTCATTTACACAAGACTCCTTTCCCCAGCACTGGGAGAACAAAAAGGCTGAAGTGTAAATGAGATCAGTGTGGTGAGTGTTACACACATGAATATTTATCAAGGAAGACAGGAGAGGGGCCAATTTGCTTACCTCCTGCTACACCAGGAGCTCTGTCATCAACAAAAGGGAGGGAAAGGGTAGGTGAAGAGGCTGGTCCATGCCTTTGTGCGGGCAGGGGTATGTGAGATGTTGGCAAAGGTCTATGTGAGGATAACTGTAGGAGCCATCAGTCATGCAATGTCCCTTCCGGTCATGCAATCAGCTCACAAGCAGCACTGTTGGGAAAAAACCTCTAAAGAACTAACAGAAAGTTGTTGCCATTCCTTGGGCAAGCCAAGTGTTCATGATAAATCTTTTTTCTGAAGAAAAAAGCAAGGTTAAATCAAACTACAAAACCCATCAAGCATGAGATTTACAGCAATGTAACTGGGTTATGGGTTCATTTCTTAAACAGTTGAATTATGGCAGCTTCTGGATATGGATATATTAAGTGTGCTGACCCCCTCAGCACTGCAGGAAGTTAGGGTATGAGCAGCAACGGAGAGATCGCGCTGGTTATCGTTTTAATGTGTATTTCAAAGTCACTTCCAAAAAAGAAGATGAGATAGTAGTTGAGTATTCCAGCCACAGACATGAGAAACAGGAACAAGATGATGCGCTTTCCAAACAGGTAACCGGGAGTGCTGAGGAAACAAAAATGGGGTAAAGCAATTTGTTAAAGTGCATCACCTCACATCAGTGAGAACTCTCTGACTTTGGACTCTGCTCTCGAGACCAGCTGGAAGATCTCAGAGCCTGAAATAGAGAGGTCAAATTTCTGTTCTGTCTTGCATGAAATGTCATTTTCAGGACCCATTTGGGTCTGGATTTGGCCTCCTGTTCTCAGCAGAGGCTGCTGCTTACAAAAGCCTCTATTCAGAGAGACTTGGATGTATTCTCATCCATCAAAGGCTGTGGGACAACTTTATTCCACACATGCATAACAGGCTTTATTAATATAAAATGACAATCTTGTGCAAATAGTGGCACAAACATGTAAATGTGTGTTTGCAGAGGCTGTGAGCAGGAACTGCAGCCCCCCCGATCCCAGTGCAATTGCATCTCCAATGTCTTCCACAGCTACTCCCATTCATCCAAAAGAGAGGGGCTTTCCTGTGCTACCCAATGCCAGCAGCTGTTGCAGGCAGTACCACAAGCCAGAGGCTGTGTCTGTGGAAGTGGCAGCATCCAGCTGCCACATTTGTAAAATGGCTCCTCAAGTCCTTACCTCTGAGTCCTCTCGCCGAGGTAGCCCACAAAGTACTTCTGCCGCACAAACAAGTACATCAGGCCAGCAAAGGCAGCAGGAGCTGAGTAAAGGGTAAAACAAGTTAAATCAAGGTAAAACAAACACTGGCTCAGGTCTCGCTGTATCTACTGTTCTCATCTGCTGCCTAGGCTGAACTGGGAAATGGGAATCTGCAGTCTTGGGTTGTGGGAGAAGCACTAGAACTGGGATGGAGACGTGCATGGGAAACAGAGCATTTGCCTTGCCCTTGCTCCAGCTTTTCTGAAGACTTTGTGGGTGTAATTCTGCCCACAACTGTGCCCACTGTAGAGCACACACTTGTCACCTTCATTCCTAAAAGCAGTCTACAAGAAATCTGGAGAGTGACTTTTTACAAGGGCATGAAGTGATAGGACAAGGGGGGGATGGCATTAATCTGAATGAGGGCAGGTTTAGATTATATATAAGGAAGAAGTTCTTCATTATGAGTGTGATGAGGCACTGGCACAGGTTTCACAGAGCGGTTGTGATGCCCCATCCTTGGAAGTGTTCAAGGCCAGTCTGGACAGGCCGTTGAGCAACCTGGTTTAGTGGAAAGTGTCCCTACCCCTGGCAAGGGAGCTGGAACGAGATGATCTTTAAGATCTTTCCAACTCAAACCATTCAATGATTCTGTAAAACACAATGTAGGTTACATCAGGCTCAGGAAAAAGGGTGCCAACTCAAGCACTGTCCTCACCAGAAATAAAAGGCAACTGATGGATGCATTTCACTAGGAGTAGGTGGAGGACTATATTATGGTCCAATACTAATTTCTGAGCTCATAAAAAGGGGCTTTCCCCCATAATTCTACCATTCCCCGTAACTGCAGGCAAAAGCCCTTCTCCTCGTCAGGAAACCTTTTCCTTTTCCAGAAAGAATAGCCATGGACCCCAGGCGAGTACTCAACTTCAGGTAAACTCACACTGTATTGAATATTGTATTGAACCATATTTAGAAATGCAGGTAAAGACTCCTGAGCTGCCCTCAGCAGTGGGCAGGCAGTTTAATAAAATGAGCCCATTTCCAGTCCCAAAAGTGAATAATGTGGCATCCAGCAACTAAGTACTAAATCCTTCACCCCAAACAAAGGGAAGTCATCCATAATGCCAGCAGGAGAAATGTCCCTGGCCTGGAATACCTTGAATCATGTCTGAGAACATATCTGTTCTCAGATGAGTGCTGAGTGTGCTGCTACTCAAACAGCAGGACAGGAGGGTGAGATGTGTTCCCCTGCTACTGGAGGGTTGGTCCCTGGAAGTGTAACTTCTGAAGCACTCGCAATCTCTTCCTGAAAGTGGTGCAAGTTTGAAAGGACATACAAAATAGCCCCCAGCGTTACCTTGGCTACAGAGAAGGCCAGCACACCAAAGCACGGCGAGAAATGTAGGGTACGCGTGTCCGCAGTTCTGGCTAGAATGGAATTTATAGGAAAGAAATTAGAACACAGGGAAACAGAAAAAAATTAATGTGTTTCACCAGCAGAGAATGGTGTGGTGTGAATTTGGGCTACACTAATGCCATTGGGGGTAGTCTTTTACCCCAGAGCAGTGGGATGCCCCTGACCTGCCAGGAGCTGGTTGGTGTATTTGTGTCTGAACACAGGGGCTCCTCATCCACTTGTCTGCTTCCCTGTTTCCTCTCATAGATAATGGGTGCCTTTGTCCTGCCTGATGAGGAAAAGAAACCATCCCAGGCACATGCCTGGCACCTACGAAAGCCACTTTCTCTCTAAGCTGTTTGATCGTATGTATATGTATATACATATGTATATACATATGTATAAGACACGCTGTGTGCTTTATTGGCTTAAAATCCTTGTCACTGAGTCATATTAGTCAAGCTACTGAATGAAAACTACCAAAATAGAATTGCAGCACAGATAAGAGTGTCCCACAGAGTTAACATGTGTCTTTGCAGGGGAACAGAAATACTTTTCAGCTGCCTCCTTCAGCAGGGAATGCTTTCTGAGGGGGAAGCACTCTGCCCTTGGCAGAGGCTGCACACCTGTGAAGGGCAGCACTTGGACATCCCATCCAATTTCAAGCTTGTTGACAGTACTTCTGAGGTAATAAAAAAATATTTCATGTTCTTTTCTGATTTAGAATTAATTTTTCCTCTGGACTCTCTGAAGAGATCTCAAAGACAAGAGGTACAAAGGTATACTGGAATGGGTTGACCAAGGATGCTCCATCTGTCAAAACATTCAGAAACATTCAAGCTCAGGTGGGACAGAACTCTAAATAACCATCAGTTGAAGATATTCCTGCTTATGGAAGGGTTGGACTAGATGAGCTTTAAATGTCCCTTCCAACCCAAAGTATTCTATGACTATGTGGCAGAGAAGTGGAGAAGTGGACATCTGTGTCCCAAGGGAGGTGCCAGGAACCAAAGGGTTTATATAAGCTTTGCCACCTACTTGCTCCTCAGCAAGTTGGTGTCTCTCTGCTGGCTCTTTCCTTCTGAACCACAGTGCCCTTGGGACTCTAGCTGTGCTTGTCACACTTCCATCACAGAAGGGTGGACTGGTTCCCAAATGAAGGGACAACGTACTCGTAAAGGCTGCAAGACCTATATAGATGCAGCACATGGAGTCCAGAAGGATGCTTGATTCATCCAGCAAACATATTGGAGAACCACAGGTCAGAGCACTGTCACAACAGGCACAGCAAAGGATTATGTATAAAGCCTTCAACTGAGGGCATTTGAAACCCACCTCTGGGCCCCAAAAGGGTTTGGATTAAACCCTAATGAAGAATACAATGAACTCCATTCTGCCCTCACTGCTCCTTGGGTCTTGTCTACTCACTTGGCAGTGTAGACGCGGTCGAAGCAGGATGATCCCTGCCGCTGGAACCCCTTGCCATTGCAGTGTTTGCTTTCATGCTCCAGTTTGTTAGCAAAAAAAGCTGTTAAAAAAACACAAAGTATTCAGTCTGAGATATAATTTGGAGGTACTGCAGAAGCTGGGATTTGTGAGCTCAGCTCTGTTCTCATGAGCATCCAGGCAGGACAGACAGCAGAAGAAAACACGGGTGCATGGAGGGGCAAGATGTGGCCAGCGAGCTTGTTCTGTCACCCAGAGGTTAATCAAACTCCCTGTGCAAGAGTGCAGTGCAACGCAGCTTCAGACATCTGCACACGTCTGTATGTGATGGGTAGCAGGCTCTCACCTCTGTGCCTGTTTCATCCCCACATTGCACTTCTGGCAGCCTGCACCTCTTCTGCAGAAGCACTGCCCTGACCCGGTCCTTTGAGCCCCCAGTGGGAAAAGAGCTTTCCAGTCAGAGCTGCCAACCCCAAATCTTGCTTTCCAACAGGGCAGAGAGACAAGGAGGTCTATTCTTTTTTAGTGAAACCCATCTGCCAAACCAGGGACATCCTGCAGGGCTGGTTCTTTTCCCAGAAGGGCCCATTGTAAACCTCATCCTGATAGCTGATCTGTATGTGTCCATCTTGTGTGCATCCTCCTTTTAAGCAACGGCATTTTGTTGGAGTGTTAGCTGCTGCAAAAATGCAGCACCTCAAGATAATGTATCATGTACTTGACAAACACGTTTTATCTGATGACACTAAACCAGAGACCGTCAATCATGTGTCTAAATACACCAGAGAAACCCTGGCAGGCTACAAGCTGCAAACATTGTGTTGTCGTGCACCCCATCTCAGTGCATCTGAATCATGCTATGGCTTAGAATATTAATCAAATATACACATAAAAGACAACCCATTAGGAATACATTATTATAACACTAGAAGTGTAAATAGATAAACTGCAGGATTTCATCCCTGCAATATGAAAAGCTGACCCTTTTTTCCCCCTCATTGATGCTGTAAATAGGTCTTTTGTACTTCCATTGTCTTCACTAAAAGTTACTGAGTTTTTCCACTTTCCCGTATTGTGTGATTCCCTAGGTACATACAGCCTTTCCCCAGAAAAACCCACAGTGTTTTAAGCCAGCATCCCTACACTGAGCCAGGCTGCAGACCTTCCCACTGCCTCCAGCACAGTGCACTGGCCACTCCTGAAGGACCCAGAACAGATACCATCCAGTGTCACAGCCACCAAGAGTTCCCAGCATCTCCATCTGCTCACCAGCCCAGCCTTTGGCAAGAGGCTATTAACCTGCCTACAGTAACTAAGAGGACCTAAAATTGAAGAGGACTAGGTTGATCAGCATTTTTTTGTCCAGTGCAAAGCTGCAGTGATGGGAAAACACTTCTTGCAGGTCTGGGACTGCGTGGGCTCACTGGTAACACACATCCTCCTTTCCTTTTAGCATGTGTGTGAAATCACTAGAAGATACCACAGCTTCTAAACAAGCCAAATAAGCTATTTATCTCCCTCTCCACTGCTGTAGTCGCTGCCACTTCCCAAATGTCAGCATGCTGCCACAGAGAGGCTTCACAATGCCCAGAGGCAAGAGGGTGGTTTCACAAGCCAGCATGAGATGAGTGAATGGAGCAAGACTGGAACAGAGAGGTTTAATTCAGCTTAGCTGTTCCAGGAGATAATGCCCTGAGGCTCCAGGGCTGCATAGACTGCCCAGAGCCTGAACTATGGCAGTCCCACTCTGGTCAATTTAATGTGCAAGAGTTCAGTGTAAGCCTGGTTGTTTCAGAAGTCCATGCCAACAGAAACTATGAGCTGAAGATCCAACCTAGCCAGTACTGGAAAATGTGCCCCTTCTTTCTCTCAGTTTCACGTTTTTCCTCCATCCCAATCTTCTCAGCAATGACCACTGATTTTCATCCTGAAAGCTGCTGGATTGCAACAGCTCTCTGACAAAAGAACAAAACTTAGAGCTGCCTGTGTGACTTAGTGGTATCAGGCCACACGAGTCATTCTGTAGCATATGGAGATTTCCAACATGAACATTATGTAAATGGACATCAGACAGGGGCAGCATCACCTCCATCTTTAGGAATAACAGCATTCATCCAAGATGTTCTCTAATTCTGCACCAGATGCAGAAAAGCACATAATCGCAAATTTACATGACACTGATTTCATGTACTTAAAGTCAGTTAAGCAAATGTTCAAGTGCCTTGCTGAATGAAAGCCACAACAAGAGCACAGTATAACTGATAGCCCTTGACAAGCATTTCTACTGCCTTAATTATTGTGTTCCTTGGAAGGCTTCGTATCAAGTCTGGTCTTTCTAGACAGAAAGCCTGGGAAGAGGAAATCAGACGATGTAAGGCTCGAAATCATGGTTTAGGGCTGTCTGACTCACGTGCTTGGCACACTAAGTCTTCTGCCAAGCATCCTTCTTCCCCTTTGTGGTAGTTGGGTCAATAATCTCACAGACAGATTTCCATGAGATAAAAATGAATGTCAGAATGGAAAGCTGACAAGTTCCAAGTGAGAAGAAAAAGCCCTGTGTATAAAGTCATATGACTAAATAGCAAGAAATGTATATTTGACACATTTTCTTAATGATGGTATGTGCTCTGATCTCAACATGCCATATTCTGGTGATGTCACACACTGTGCATTTACTGGAAAACAACATCGGGCTAAATGATTAGTGCCTATGTTGAAAGTAACCCAGTCTGCATCTCCTTTTTTTTTTTTTTCTCTCTAGCAGCTGGGCTCCCACAACTTCCCCTCTCTGCAGCAACCCAAGAATAGCCCATTTCCTAGGACTGAATGTGGGACTGAATATGGAGTTTGTGCTCAGTGGGAATCTCCCAATCATAAAAAGAAGCCTTAACTAAAGATTTCTGGAATTTGCACCAGCCCCTCCACCCCACTGCTAACTCTCCTTGAATCTGGGCAAACTCAGTGCAGCTGGGGCAAAACTCACTTATTTCTTTGTAATCTGGACAGAATTTCCTGCTAAAATGATTAAGTATTTGTAAAAGATGATGATCATGTTAAAATCAAATCTGCACAGGAGAGAAACTTGATTTATTTAAAAAATCCCCAAAAATAGTAGTGATTATAGGAAGTCTGAATAAGTGCTAGAAGAGGAAACTTCACCATCGCAGGAAATGCGCAGTGTTCTTGGGAGCACAGTTAATTGATATTACTTATACTGTAGGACTTGGAGATAGAGGAAAGCAGGGGAGCTATCTGCCCACAAATAGCCCACACAGACTCCTCCAATGAGGCAGTGCAGTTTTCTCCCCTTCACCCAGCTCCATGCAAAGGTCTGACCCATTGCACCCCCCTGGGGACCCGTCCCTGCCCACAGCAGCAGCTGCATGAGAGCAGCCCTGGCTGACCATGGCAGGGACCTAGGCCAGGAAAGGACACCTCAGTCACCAATTCAAAATGCATGTTGCCACAGGATATCCCAGCATATTAGTCCTTTCACTAGCTGACACATTTAACAAACTCATTCCAGAATATCACAGAGTAGGACCATGCAACTGCCAGGATACTGCCACAATGGCACACAAAATGCTATGCTTTGAAGACCATTTCTAAAGCTAAAGCCATGCCTGAGCACTAACCACACATGTACTTATAACCAGAGATCATCTATCCAAAGGTCAGCTCAGCATACATCATCCTGAACTTTCCTCAGCTCCCCTTCAGACCTTAAATAAATGCTTATTTTTGTCTTACCATTCTGGACAACACTTAGCAAGGTGACAATGGCAAGCAGGACAATGCTTCCCAGGGTCTCCTGGTCCATTTTGTGAGCGGGATGTCAGGGTGGATGGTGCAGCCTCGATGGTAGCTCAGCCCTACAAGCACAGAAGGAGGAAGTGAAGGTCTTATCTTGAATCATGAAGCACTTCCTATGGCTTCACAGGAGAGTGTCAGCACCCTGAGCTTTGGTGCATGTCAGACCAAAAAGTGCACTCATCATACACAAATGAAGCCCACAGAAATAAGAGATTATATGTCCGTGATCTAAAAGGATATACAACATGGAAAGGTATCTATTGCCCTTCCTACACAGGAGCAAAATCCAACCTTGATATCTGAAGTATGTTTGAACATTTGGCTAGCTGTGTGGAACAGCAGAAGGCTGGAATAAACCAGCCAGGCTATCACAGCATTGTCAGCAAGAGTCTGACCACTCCATGAGTAGTTGGGAGGAGAAATAATGTTGATGAGTCTCAGTAACACTATTGCTCTCAGACAGGTGCCCTCCCTGGTCACATCTCCATCAGCCTCACCAGTGAGGAGACCCCGGTTCTACAGGTCAGAAGCAAAAGCTCCTGATCCACCTGGCATACTGGATGGCAGTATATTAATGCTGTGAGCATTGCAGGTGAGCACAAAAATACGTCTTTCATTACCAGCCATGGATCCGGTGTCCTTCCCCCATACAAATAACTCCCTGGAAGTCAGTGACAGCTATGAGCACTTGGTGTTTTAGTGGCCCAGACTTCACAGTTGTACCCCAGTTTTAGTACTTGAAGCCCAGTACGGCTGAATACAACTGCTGCAGCCTGTTCACAGCTTGGCTCTGACCCCCTGATGATAGAGAAACACAGGCTGTGGTGTTGGAAGTGTGGTGGGTTGACCTTGGCTGAATACTGGGTGCCCCCCAAAGTCGCTCCATCTCTGCCCTCCTCAGTGGGACTGGGAGAAAAACTATAACAAAAAGCTCATGGGTTGAAATAAGAACAGGGAGAGATCATTCCCCAGTTACTGTCATGGGCAAAACATACTCAGCTTGGGGAAATGAATTGAATTTATTGCCAATTATATAAGAGCAGGATGATGAAGCAAAACTTATCTTTGAATGCCTCCACTCCCCAGGTTTAACTTAATTTGCAATTTCTCTGCCTCCTTCCCCAGCAGCACAGGGAAATGAGGAACAGGGGTTATAGACAGTTCATCACACATTGTCTCTGCCACACCTTCCTCTTCAGAAGCAAGACTCCTCACACTCTTCCACTGCTCCAGCATGGGGCCCCTCCCACAGGAGACACTCCACGAACTTGTCTAACAAGAATCGTTTCCAGGGGCTTCAGCTCTTCATGAACTTCTCCAGCATGGGTCTCCCATCTCCTTGATGTCTGCTGAGCTGTTGCTCTCTCCTCCCTCCAGCTGCAATTTTCTTCTGTGCAGTGACATTCTCCCCTTCTTAAATCTTATCCCAGAGGTGCTACCCTCATTGCTGATGGGCTTGGCTTTGACCAGCAGTGAGTCTGCTTAGAGCCAGCTGGCATTAGCTCTGTTGGACATAGGGGAAGCTTCTGACAGATTCTCACAGAAGCTACCCCTGTAGCCCTCCGCTACCAAAACCTTGCCAAGCAAACTAAATACAGACAGCTGCAGAAAGTCCCACTGTTTCTGTCAGATTGCTGGAAAGCATCCTCATCCAAAATGCATATCACTCGCTGACCCTAACTACTCTGTTCCCTTTTGCCCATATTCTAATTGGGAAAAGTCTCATGATAAAATGCTTACCTTTAGTAGGAATTTAACACTAATAAAAAGTAATATTTCCACTGGACTTCACCCTGTACAATTTTTGCCCCATCTCTCTGTCTGTCTCTACTCTACTGCATGCTGAGGTCTGAGTGCTGCCTGGCATCCAAACTGTGGCCAGACAACTGGTTACCTCTCTCTGGATGGGACACAGCCAGGCAGGAGTTCCCAGCAGGAGCCAAGCTGCAAAATCCATCTTGTTCAATAGGGATACATTTACCTACAAAGGGGGTTTTATCCAGTCTCTGTATCATGCAAACTTTTATAATCTGTACTCTTAGATATGGAAAACTCTCAGGTACTTTGAGTATAAGCAAATATACAGAAATGAACTGGCTGACAGGTAGGTGATTAACACTGTGAGCTGTGACCTACTGTTACCCTAATAGGAAAAGAATGTCTTTTTGGGAGACCTTCCCTACAGTCCACACAGACATGACTGTGTGAGAAGCAAGGCCATAATGATCATCTAGGTTTAGATTTGGCCTGTGATATTTTCTTCAGATTTTTAACTCTTGGCAAATTTACTTCAGGAAAAAAACCAAATCCAAGAACAAAAAGAGAAACACAATAGGTCTTTGAGAATGCTTTTATTCAGGCTGAAGTTCTCTTTTTCCTCAGAAAATTATCTTTTCTTATTGAACATCAAAGTTTATGTTTTGTGGTCTGCTGAGCACAGGAATGTAGCTGGTATTTAGGGATGATATTTAATGCTAAGCACCTACTAACCTTCTGAGAAGAAAAACCCATCAACTAAAAGAGGTTATGGAATTAAGTCAAAAAAGGAATATTCTCTAAGCAGAGACCAATGTTATGACTGTAAAGAAAGAAGCAGGAGGGGGAAAGCAGGTGTGGTGGGAGGAGGGAGCTGCAAACAGAAGAGGGCAAAGGGGACAGCAGCGGTCCTCAGGGCATCTGCGCCAGGATGACTCCCAGTCATCCTTCCACAGCAGGCATTGAGCTTTCTCTTTCTTCTGCCTGTTTTGTGCTGGTGCAAACCTACCAGGCAGCTTGCAGCTTGCTTTTTGATTTACAAGTGGCAGTACAAGCACATGAGCCTGCTCCAACTTGCCAAGAAAACACACACGCTTCCCCACTAAGTCTTCCCCAAAGTGACTTCTATTCAGCAGAAGTGTCCTGTAAAAGGGAGTAGGAGTCAGGCTGCTGAGCTTTGAAGTTGCCACAATGCCAAAAAATGTGCAACATACTCTGTGTTTATGCCTTTCCAGCTGGCTGACCCAAGCTCCCAGCCCTCACCCTGTGGGATGGCCAGGTCACAAAAGCTGAGCTGATGATGCCTTTGCTTTCTCCTTGTCTCACACTTTGTTTTCCAGCTCTTTGCTTTGCTGCCTTTCAGTGCCTCTCACCACAGCCTCACGACCACTTTGCTCTTCTGCTCTGCCCCTTCTGATTTCCATCTGTCCCCTGGCACTTCTTGGCATCACAGGATTCGTTGGCATTTTAGTGCTTGGCATTCCTGGCACTTTGCTGGAAATGCAGCCTGTTTCCTCCTCTTGCCAAGGTTTCCTCCAAAGCCATCCCACATGTATGTGTGGAGGAAAACATGGTTTCGCAGCTCTTCCTGCAATAAAAAAAAACCTGTGACATCAGTTCCAGGGCTTGCTATGATGATTTCTGTGTGTGCAGGGAAAAAAAACTTTGCCAACAAGAATCTGTTTGGTATGGCTGCCTTAAAATATGAACTGCAGGGGTTTAGTTTTGTTGGGGTTTTGTTTGTTTGTTTGTTTGTTTAAATGTAACATCACTCTGTGGACTCTGCTTGAGGAAAAGCCAAGGAAATCAAGATGGTATGAGAGACATCAAAGAAATTCTGCCCCTTTACCCTGTCAAGTCCACTGTACAGTCAGATAGAGCAGAAACCCCTTGTGGGGAGGAATATTACTTTTTCATACCCCTTAGCACTGGAATAGCTGCAGGATAGAAGGAGGTTCTGGCAACTTTTTTCCAGTTTGGGGAATTGTCTTGGCAAGGGAGAGCTAAGATGGGGCTAAAAATGACTCTGCAAATAGCTTCTGCACATTAAATGGTTCCCTCTCCCTGAGACCTTAACATATACACAGGATCACTGTCTGGGTCAAGCAAAATTGGCACCACTGGAAAACCCTGTCCAGCTGGGAAAAAGATCACTGCAAGACCCTCCATCATATCTCAGTTGGCCATTTGAAATAGGGGATTTTCTCAAGTAGGCAAAATTAAAAAGGGGGGAGCGGGGAGGGATACACATCTCGGAGAACAGCACCTGCACCCTCTATAACCACAGCTGCGGTCAGACCTCTTCAGGCACAGGTAATTCTGTGCTTCAGTAGCTGCTGTCAGACCCCAGCCCTTTTGCTTGCTGCATTGCTGTTTGACATCCACATCGTCCTGTCTGAGGAAGATAACCTTGACACAGCGAGCCATGAAGCTCACGAAAATGTGCAAAGCCAGTGAGCTTTTTCAGTTGCGCTGTGAGGCTTCCAGCACATTAATCTCCTCCTCTGAAATCTTGAACAGCCAGTCAAAATAATCCTTTTGTAGAATTGCTTTCATAGTGAAGAGGAAAGGACTGGGAACACAGATCTATAAATATCTTTTGGGTTGTTCATCTCTCTTCTCCTCTCATGCACTCTGATCAGCACTCAGCTGCAAGGACTCCAGTGAGAGTGTGCCTCTTGATAAAATAAAAGCTTCTCATATGAAACTCCTCTGTATAAATGCCAGGTGATACACAGCCATCATGCTTTATCATAAATGCAACGAGACACAAGCCCCTCAGACTGGCTGGTTAATATTAGCACTGTGTTTTGCAAACCTAAAGTGCCACAGCACCATCAAATATAGTACATACACACACGTGTGGGTGACTACCTGCCGTCACTTAGTCTGCTTCAGCATCGCGTCCTCGTTGAAGCCTGACAAAGCCCCAGTGGAGTGTATGAACAGAGCTGGAAATGTGAAGTGCAACATGAAGAAAGGGGCAATGCTGCAGTTTTTAAAATGCTGTCTTCATTTTGCTCAGCCAGGAAAATGACACTGTGGGAGCAGCCAGAGCGCCACCTCGGAAACCCCTCCTTCTCTACATTTTCCAGGCTTTTTCCTTTCACTTGCTGTCTTCATATTCGATTTGTACAAATTCAGCTTGAAACATGGAGCTGGAAGATAGAGCCTGTAGTCCCTTTGGGCCCTCTAGCACAACCTCCTCCTCTTCACCCTCTGTGTGTCATTGTTCCGGTTTAAACCCAATCGGCAACTCAGCCCCATGCAGCCACTTGCTCACTCCCCACCACAGGGATGGGGGAAGCG